CTCTTTATGCAAGTACATGTGTATGCTCACCCACGCGTTTACTTGCTTGATGATTTATGCATACCACTAATTACCAGCGCTTGTGACTACTCGCACTCATACATTCACATATTTACCCTGTATTTTATTCACACTAGTTTTATCATAGAACCGCTGCTATTGCTATTGTCATTCTCTCATTTGATATTACCCTCAATCGTTACCCCCAATTACGCTGTAAAAACAGTCGCGTTCGCATCAATTATCATGCTTTCATGTATAAATATCAATGCTGATAATTGTTACGTCATTAAATTATCACATTATCATTCTCATTGTCAGGGCTTCAATTTTTAACAAAATTTTTGTTCATACACGGAGAAAAATTAATTATACTACCTACTATATAAAAATAGTAACTACTACTATCTAAAATGGTAATAAAATTAATTAGTAACAAAATAATAGGTGATATCATTGACAATTGTAATAGTTACTATTAATAATGTTAACGATTACTATCAAAAATAATAATTATAATTATTATAAATTATAACGGTTACAATCGAAGATGGTAACTGTAACCATCTCAGATTGTAAAAATCCTGAAAGAAAAAATATATATATATAAATTTAAGCTAGTGTACATTTTTTTTTTGAAATATTAAAATATTTTAAATTCCCTTCAAAATTTTTTTTTGAAAATTTGATTTTTTTTTAAAATAAAAATTTTTTTTTTTTTAATTAAAATTTGAGAATTTTAATAGTTACTATTAATAATGTTAACGATTACTATCAAAAATAATAATTATAATTGTTATAAATTATAACGGTTACAATCGAAGATGGTAACTGTAACCATCACAGATTGTAAAAATCCTGAAAGAAAAAATATATATATATAAATTTAAGCTAGTGTACATTTTTTTTTTTGAAATATTAAAATATTTTAAATTCCCTTCAAAATTTTTTTTTGAAAATTTGATTTTTTTTTAAAATAAAAATTTTTTTTTTTTAATTAAAATTTTGATTTTTTTGGAAATTTCAAATTTTTTTTGAAAAAGCTTAGATAGTAGTTATTATTATTACTGATGGTAACTGCAACCATCAGGTTATATTAGGAATTACGATTTTGATAATAGTAGTAACTAATTAAAATAATAACAGTTATTATTATTGATTACCATCATAATAGTAGTAGTTACCATCTTGATGGTAAATACTAAAATTCAGATGATTTACTTAATTATTTAAATAATATTTACTACTATTGAATTCAGCTGATAGATTTTAACAAGACTAGATAATAAACTCTACTATAAAATTTTCTCCATGCATGTAATCATCAAATGTAAACTTATCAGAATTTGCAAAATAGAAACTTAAATATTCAAGATAATTACTTAAAAAAGGTATTATTATTATTATTGTTGTTATTATTAATAATTTCCAATTACTATTTATCTACTAGACGACTGTTAATTACACCGGGGTTTGTTGGAGAGAGGACAAACAGAAGCATGATGCACAAAAAGACGAAACTGAAACGGTATCGCGTTCAAGCGCGGCTGCATCCAAACATAGCTTTGGTTGCGTTTTCAATTTTCGATGGTGATAATCCGTAGAGGGCTGTGACAGTAAGAGTAGACCTAGTGGTAAGTGATAGTGCGAACAACTGGTGTAAGCACTGCTGTTGCTGAGAGAGGGAGAGAGGGAGAGAGAGAGCCGTGGAAGCCGCTTTGTCATCGGATAACCTAGACTTGGTGCTCGGTTGTGCAGGGTCTGGTTGCGATAGAACGTTACTGTTACGAACTATACGTATAACAGCATAGTACAACCCCTAGCTGCTGTGTTTCATCCGATACCGGTGTCGAGCCTGCCGTAATAAGCGTTTCGTCGATTGTAAATGAACGGCTATAGGTGTCGAGTTGCCTAGATTGGAGATTTGATTTCCTTGATCCACACAATACCTCGCTACAATTTCCGAGTGCATCACATCGACATATTTATACACGGAAAGTCAGGGTTGAATTCAGTTTTAGCTTCTGTAACTTTTCGGACTGTTGAAAATTAAACACTAAAAATTTTAATTAATTTATATTATTATTGTAAATAATAGCAATAATTAACCAGATTTGTTGGCTCTAAAGACCTGCATAGCAAGTCTTGAGTAGGTAAGTTATAGACAAAGTAAATATAGAGTCAAAGTAAGAGAAATTTCCGAAGGCTCCCCCGAGACCAGGAGGCTAAATTGCCGGCATTATATTACAGCTCAGAGTTCGCATTTAATTTGAATATAATCGCGGAAGGAGATCTCTGGGAGGCTCCACGTTCTCGCTACCGACCAACTACCCCCAGTGTGTTATATATTGCTGGTGTATGCTCATGGTGGCACCCCAGTGCATATATTTAGCAGCTTAGAAACTGCGTGACGTTGACCGGAAGCCACCCTCGGGACACCGGAAGCAAAATGGCCGATGCAAATCCAAGTCCCCGAGTCAAGACTCACTGAGCCTCAGTTTTATTCGCGCCCTCTTTCCAAAGGTCTTCTGGTAGTGTAAATTATCGTCTGGTTGGAAAATTTTAAGTATTCCCTAAAGAAAAAATTTTTTTTTTTTTTTTTTTAATAAAATATTTGCTTATACTTATCATTTATTTGTTTAATTGTACTTAATAAATTTTTTATAAAAATTTTTTTTTTTGATTTTTTTTAATAGTTAAAAAATTCTATTATCATTTAAAAAAAAAAATTTGCATCTGACATTAAGGTAGATTGTGGATGTTAATCGACTGACAGCGAAACTCCTCCAGCGAAACAAAACAAACCTGGATAGCAATAGAAGCTCTTCCACGTCTTTCAGTAGCATCAAGCATAGTTGGTTAAACTGAACTGACTTTTGTCGGGAGCGGTTCCCATCCGAACGCGTTCTCGTCCGTCAATTATCCTTGCCACGGCAGTATAAGTATAAAGGGGCTGTAAATCTCAAGTGCTCTGGATCACAATCCTCAACACCCTCAACTTACTGCCTACTTGCTAACTAAATCTCTAGTCTCCTTATTTATCTCAACTTTACATATACCACCTTATATAGTTTGAGGCAACACGAGCCGAGAACTGAGAACTTGGAGCTTCTAGGATGCCAAGTCAAGCAGAAACAATCGTTCGTTAAACATCTCCCAGATTAAATTAAATTGTCACATTCAGTTTCCAACTTGTGTAGACTCTAGTCGCAGTCTGTACAATCTATATTGTGCGCCCTTGTATTGAGTATGTATAGAATTTTTGATCATCCTCACAACGCCGCGGTTGGAAGTTAAACATGGATTTCATTATTTTGCGGAGCACTTTTGATTTAGTTATTAACTTTTAACGCTAAGATTTGATTTATTATGGAAGATGTGAGTGACAAGGTTTCTTGATTTTATATTTTGATTTAAGGGAAGGTAATTTAATTAAGAGACTGATTTTAATTATTTCGAGGCTGACATACGTGAATAGAAAATTTGATAAATTTTATTATTTAAAAATTTTGTTAAATTTTTTAATAAAATTAATTTTAATTTTTATTATTATTTAAAGATGATTTTTAAGAAAAATATTATTAAAAAATAAAAATTTTTCTTGTAAAAAAAAATAAAATTCATTAAAAAAAATATTTTGAACCTGTAAAAAATTATTTTTTAAAATTTAGTCAGGAAAATTTTTTTATTAAATAAAATTAATTTTTGTTAGAGAAAAAATTAAAAAAATTTAATATAATTATTAAAATTTGCAATATAACTTTTTAAATTCAAAATTTTTTTGTTAAAATAAATTTTTTATGTGTTAAAATTTTTTTATCAGTTATTTAAGTAGTTAAAAAATAATAAAAATTTGTTGATTAAATTTTATATTTTTTATTCTTTGACAAATCTCTCTTAACTAGAGTTTATTATCTGTCGGTACTTTATATTAATTTGAAAAAAAAGTAGTTAAGTTATTGGACAGTTAAAGTTTAAGTTTCATACATAGTACTTGTGCATATGATGATAATACACAATGTAACATGAAACTTACCGAAATGTCCGGCACGAGTGGTTTTTAACAGAGATCCTTATCGCAGACACGAGCCATTGGTTTGAGGTTGAGGATTAACTAAAGCTTAAAGGGTCGTGGAGGAACTAGAAGAGGTGTATTGGTAGCAGTTGACCGCTGCAAGGCAAAAGGAAACGGATATAGCTGTTGAGTCACGCGATCGCGAGCTTGCAAGGCGAGCATAAAACACCTGAGTTGGTTAATCGCGGTTAAGTCCAGTGCAATGGAGCCGACACATCTTTTCGTTTTAATTTCTCTTGGACACCAAATTGGAGAAAATTTATGGGGTCGGTCGTTGAATTTTATTACATTTTTATAATATTAAAAAAATTGTTTGTTATTTAGAAAAAATATATGACTCTTGACAATTTTTTAATAATAAATTTAAACCCAGAAAATTAATTTAAAAAAATTGCATTTATAATTTTTAGAGATGAAATTTTTCAAATAAATTTTTTTTTGCTGTGATTTATTTGTTAAAAAAATTCTAAAAATTATCAGATGTCTTCTTTTATTATTTTTATTGAAAAATTGCTTATATTATTGTTAAAATTTATGAAAAATAAAATTTTTTATAATTTATTTACAAAATTGTCATCTTTAAAATTTTTTTTCAATGTTTCATTTTCGACAAATTTAATAAAAAAAATTAAAAATTCTGTAAAAAAAATTTTAAAATTAAAAAATAAAATACTAAAAATTTTTTATAATTTATTTATAAAATTGTCACCTTTAAAATTTTTTTTCAATGTTTTATTTTCGACAAATTTATTAAAAAAAAAAAAATTAAAAATTCTAAAAAAAATATTTTAAAGTTAAAAAATAAAATTATTTACAAAATTGTCAACTTTAAAATTTTTTTTCAATCTTTTATTTTCGACAAATTTATTAAAAATTCTATCAAAAATATTTTCAAGTTAAAAAATAAAATTAATAAAAAATATACATACCTATGATTACATTGTTGACAAGCAAAACATTCGAGATGATAAACATTTGTCCTGGCTCTCATAACCATTTCGAAGGCTGGTATGTCTTTCGAACACGCTGCGCAGTATCCGGTGTTACCAAACAACCTGAAATAAATCCAAAAAAAAAAAAAAAAAAACAAATTAAAACAACAATAATAATAGCTAATAAAAGAAAAGAAATAACCATCAAGTGATTAAATTTAACGTGTATGTATATATATATATATATGTATATTGTGATACCAGGAAGCCATTGAATCAATAAATACCGACTTGAAACGACATAGAGACAGCAACACTAATGTCCTCCTCAAATATTGGGCCATTAATAAAGGCCTTAGTTTCAATAGCTCGGAACTTGTACAATAGCACCTGTGTGTTTGTAAAACTCCCTCGGGAGGCTGTAATCTCAACACGGTTTATTTACTCACTTTTACCCTGTGCTCTCTTCCGCACTAAGCACCCACCCTCGAGTCGACATTAACTCATTCGCTTGCTTTCAATCGGAATTCACCCTATATTATTTACTGTACTATGTATTATATATTACATATATCATTTGACGTATTTGATATGACGTTTGCTTCTCATTTCGAGGTTTTATTAAATAAAGGAAACTCATCTGTGAAATTCGATTTGTAATATCGCTTCTTCTTGTCCTTATTGGCTCTCAAATTATATTTAAATTTGTATTCATATTTTTGTATCAATGTTTGGATGGTATTATTAGAATAATACTTATAGAGTTTTATTTATGTTGTATTAAAAATTCTGGACAGTACCTGAGATAATCGCGCTTGCAGAGGATCAAGTTGGCTTTTGTGTAGAGGGTTGAACCCAGTTCTCCGAGTCTGCAGTTACAGCACCCGCACTTTAAACAATCTTCGTGCCAAAGCATGTCCAGTGCTTTTAATAAATATCTAAAATTCAGAAATATATATTTTAAGGATGTTAATTTTTTTTTTAATATTAAAATTAATTTTTTTGATCATTTTAAATGTTATAAATAAATTTTAGAAATAATTAATAATATTTACACCGAGAAAAGATTTTTTTAAAAAATTTTTTGGCTAAAAAAATTCTTATTTCAAAAATTAATGATTTCTCTTTAAAATTAATTTTTTTCAAGAAAATTTATTTTAGAATCAGGAAAATTTTATTCTTATCTGTAAAAAATAATTATCAAGCGATAAATTTTCAATTTAATATAAATGATCCATCGTTAATCTAAAATTAAGATAGTTATAGTGTTTATAATATCCGATAGGTGGCGAACCGCTGCGAAATTTTCTCAATAGAAGAGATTTAAAGTTTCAGGAATTTATTAATTAGTTAAAAGGCAAAAAACGAAGATTAGTTTGGGATTTGATAAAAATTTTTTTTAAAAATAAAATAAATATCAAATTAAAAATTTCATAAATAAATGCAATGTAAATTATATTGTAAGCAGAGTCCATACGTTTATTTTTATTTAGAAAATTTTACGAGTTTTTTACAATAAAAAATTTCAACTAATTATTTTTTCCAATTATTATTATCATTATTAACATATTTACAGACACAATTTACTGCATTTAATATATTGATTGTTTATAATTCCTGTCCTAATAGACTCGCTTATAATAGAATTTACATTACATCTATTAATGGAATTTTTAATTTGATATTTATTTTATTTTTAAGATTTTTATCAAAACCTAAATTAATCTTCGTTTTTTGCTTTTTAACTAATTATTAAATTCCTGAAACTAAGTCTCTTCTAGTGAGAAAATTTCGCAGCGGTTCGCCACCTATCGGATATTATAAACACTAACATCTTAAATTTAGATTAAGTAACTATCTAATAATTTTTGTACTACTTAAAAATAATTAATTAATGATTATTAATAAATATGAATCAATTTTTATGATTTTATATACATTATCAATTAAATAAAAATTAATATTAATTTAAGAGAAAAATTCTTGAACTAAGAAAATAATTTTTAAGATTATCGTCTCGATTTAAATAAATTTTATCAACAATTTTTTGTCTTTATTCAAGACAATATATTTTTTAGATAGTTAATTTTTAATGTAAAATTTTTGGAGAAATTTTGAATAATTTATTAATTAAAAAAATTTATTTTTTCACATTTTCAATTAATTTATCAATAATTGATCTTGTGACAGTATTATTTTAAAAATTTATTTAAAAAATACCTTAATGATTTATATTGTCATTAAAAATAAAAAAATTATCAAGCCAAAGATTCTTTTATTAATAATTTATAATTCTTTAGTTCGCTAATGAATAATTAATATAAATGAAAAATACCTTTCGGTAATAGCTTTTCCACATCCAGCGCAATCTTGAGAAGTAGATCCAATTTTATTGGACTCACTTTTGCTTACGTCCATCGTCATCTCGTACCGATTAACTGTCAAAGATAAATAAAATATTAATGATCAATCCAGATGAAGATTCATCTTGATCGAAAGATTGAAAACTTTTATGGTCTGAATAATTAATAGATTGGCTCAATAAATAATCGATGGTATGAAGTTCGGGTGACAACTTTGGACCGGTAAAATTATTTATCAGAGTGATATATGATAAACGTATTAGAGCTTAATATCTGCAAGTGTCGTTGGCGGATAGCTTTTATCAAGTTTCAACGGCAGATGGTTGAATCTCAGTTCTAGTCGGGTTGTCTATGAGTAATTAGAGTTACGGTGCCTGAGAATTTAACCGCGGTTAATGCCATCTGTGTCCGAGCTCCGAGCCGTGGGTGGTGTCCTGACTGCGGTGGTGGTCAGAGTTTAGAATCGAATTAGTTTGTGACCAACGTACACACACACACACACACACATATATTTTAGTTTCTACATCCATGCGGTGTCCTTCTTCAGACTAGTGTAATGTTCATTCATTATTAAACGTGTTTTGATATTTTAGCGCTATATATCATTTTCGACTGAATGTACTTATTGATTTTTTATTAAAAAAAAATTTAATTAATTTTGAAATAAAAATTTTTTTTTAAAAATATATTTATATAAATTTAAGAAAAAAATTAATTCAAGAGAAAATTTTTGACCTTTTTAGTTTTAGAAAAAATTTTTTTTTTAATTTTAAGCTAAAAAAATATTGAATTTAATTTAAAGGAAGAATTTTAGAACTAAAAAAAAATTGTTGAGTTGAAAAATTTTTCTAGATTAAATAATTTTTTTTTTTGTCAAATATTATTGCATAATGATTGATAAAAAAAATTTTTTCATGTGGCTTTTTGAAATTTTTCACACGATGTATATTAATAATATGTAAAACATAGATTAAGATAGTTAAAGGGTCCTCGTAAACAGCGGGAGAAGCTGAACCGCAAGAATTCATGTGGTCAGATTCCGACGGTTAGCCTCGCGGAGAAAATAACTCGTTGAAATTCCTCCCTTCTTCAGTTTATTTTTAATTTATTTTCCGGCTATTTGAAAACTATTTCGGTTATTTTTTATAAAAAATTTGAATCTTTTATTCGGTCAAATGCACTGTTTACAAAAGGTATTTTATATTTACATTTGGTATGTGCTTGTATTTGTATTTGTTTGAGTTATTTTTTAAAACGAGAATGAGAATGTCGGATAAAATTATTGAGATGGTTTAATTTAGGGATCAAAGGCCCGGAATGTATTTGCTCGGAAGTTTTAACCACAAGGAGATATTAAAGTCACGAGTAATACTGTGTCCAAGCAGACCTATTCAAACCGCAAGGAACTTTGTTAATATTGTAGTTCACTCTACGTCATATCATGTTATTACCATTTGAAATGGAATATCTGTACTAATAAATTATGGGAGGATTTTTTAGCATTTAAAAATTATTTTTTCTCATGAAATAATTAATTTTATTGTTATAAATATTTTTCATTAGTCAAAAATACTTTTAAACATTATTTATTATCTAAATTTTATTTCATATTAAATTAATATTATTAATTATTATATTATTAAATTTAGTCTATATCATAAAACAGCTTTAGATATTAAATGAATAAAATAACTAAAAGTTTACTTCTAGACTTGTGAGCGTGTAATTTTATCAGCAGAAGCGACGGAAGAATCTGATTTATCAAACTGACAAAAGGGGTAGAAGAATTCTCATTACCCGTCAATGGAAGTCATTACTCAGTACAAAGCGGGAGAAAGATGTGGTGACAGTACCTACAAGCTGAAGTTGAGGCAGAATAAAATGGATGCAGAAGAGAAGAGAGGAGACAAGATGAGTCTGTAATTGTGCGTTATACGGAGCGAATCTGCAGATGGACGTGTGTGTACGGAATGACATGTCCGAGCACACGGAAGTGACTCGCATCGCTGGGAATTCGTCTATCGGCCACGTGATCCGATCATCCACGGACTCTGATCTTCAAAGCAACGATAATTCGATTAGCTACTCTGCGCGTTCATCAACCGCTAACCACTGTATATTCTATACTCTGTAGTATTCCCAGTCAGCCAATATGTACTTGTCCTGCTTACTGTGTCTGTCTACATCGACACAAATTGCTCCACATGTGTGTGAGCAACTGAACATACTATCGTCGTAATAATCGCAGGCAACCCTTCGTCCTCTTACATTCACAATTATTAATTAATATTGCGACTATTTTTTTATTTTTAAAAATTATTTATATTATTAAAAGAATAGATATATAATTCTAGATATATAATTACGAAATGACCTTGTATCTCGAGAACTATTGACATTTTTAAAGATATAAGCTCATTTCAACATTAAACTCACCGAGACCTTTCATTTAAGTACCTACATCAATTTTTCATATATTTATATATATTATATATATATATGTATATATGAAAAATATATCAAAATGCATGTGGGTACTCAAATGAAAGCTCTTGATGAGTATAACATCGGGATGAGCTTATATCTTTAAAAATGTCAATAATTAAGAACTGACATTGCTATCTTGTCAACTACTGACATTTTTAAAGATATAAGCTCACCCTGATATTAAATTCACCGAGACCTTTCATTTGAGTACCCACATCAATTTTTCATATATTTATATATATTATATATACATATATATGAAAAATATATGAAAATACATGTGGGTACTCAAATGAAAGCTCTTGATGAGTGTAACATCGGGATGAGCTTATATCGTTAAAAACGTCATTATTGAATAAAAAAAAATTTTATTTATTATAGTTCACAAACCACGGCAGTCACATAGTGACTGCAAGGTTGCTAGACAATATTTTTTTTTTACCTCCAGATAATTAAATTCTTCTACACAATTACATTTGAAACATTTATGTCGATCGTTAAAAATAATCAGACAACTCATTTACAATTCCTTGGATTTTTTCAATATAAAATTACAATAACTTTTAAAAATATTCTCAAGACTCAATACTAAATGTCAACTAAGAGCTGAACTTTTTAAGTATCATTAAAATAGCCATCAATTATTCGTTAAATTATTTAAATTAAAATTATTCAACCTTTAATTGACAAGTGAATTTTCAAGCATCAATTTTAAATGAGATCATTATAATCAGGTCATTTTAAAATTAACTTTTAATTCATTAAATATTTAACTAAACTTTTTAGTGTTGGTAAGAACTTCGTGTAATGTAGGACAGATAAGAATTATTTATATCTTCAAAATCGTACAAATCACTTCAAATTAAACCAAAGACGATTTTTTATACCGTGTAAATTTTAATTGACTCATCTATAATTATATTTTTCTACATATTTTTTTAAAAATATTTTTTGAGTAATCTAGACGAAATAATTTTACACATATTAAATATTAATATTTATAAATAATCTTAATATTTAATATTAAGGTTATTAACACTATTAATATTAAAATTATTATTAATTTTAATTTCAAATATTATTAATATTTATTATTAATTTAATTGATTTTTAGATGAGAAAAAATTTTTTCAATTTTTTCGCATAAATAAAAAACTTTATGAAATAAATAGAAAATTTGTTAATTAGAATATCAATTCATAATAAGAAAAAAAATCTTAATTTTTTGTGAAAATAAACTGTTAAAAAAAAAAGATTTCAAATTTTTTTAATAAATCAAAAATTGTAAAAAAATCAATAATCAATTCTTCATATTTTCCTGATTAACACGATCGACAACCTCCTGAGTAAAATAATCCACAAACAGAATAGTCATTGTAGAATTATGAACTCCAGGATACTGTTTATCAATATTGTAATTAATCGGCTCGATACACATCTGATCGAATTCAAACCACTCTCCAGCCCTAGCAACAGCCCAGCTTCCAAAGTTAGATAGATCATAAATATAACACGGATAAAAGCTGTACCGTTTTTCGGTGGAAAATTTTTTATACTTGTTCCATTTTTTGTCATGATCAAATTCGCTTTTTACATCAATATCAGTATCAATCTTCTGATCTTCCTCTTGCAAGCTAACGCCATCTAAGGTCAAGCACTCGTACTTAAACATCCTAGCACAGTCAAAAAAGTTGTATTGGTTAGTCGCGAGAAGAATTTTCCCGCGGTGTTTACCGACTGAGTCGCTCAGCGACCATTTTCTGACCCACCGCTCGGCGCCATTTTGTTCAGTCGCGTACTGTTCAAGCACTTTGCAGTGTTTTATCGTATTAAAGGCGTCCTCGCCTCTCTCAAATGAGTAATTGATAAATAAAATTACAAACTCTCGCGGATTATTCTTGAGAAATCGGGATAATTCGGCAAAAAGCGTGTTGAGCGAGTGGCGCAATGACACTGATACGTAATCAGTCGCTGATGAATAAATCATGAGCTCGGATGGCTCATAATGAACGGCGATATCTAGCACACGCACTCCGTGATTCAATTGCTCGGTGACACTTAGCTCTTGTGATCTTTTGTATGGGTCGCGGGTCAAGTATGTCATTGATTTCCGAGTACCGGTTAGTGACAAATTTCCTATTTTACGTGTGTCTGACACTCTTGACAAAATGTCACTTCGGTCTTCGTAGTCTTTGTACTTGTATTCCGGGCAGTTTTCATCCGCAATCCCGTTAATTGTAAATAAACTCCCGATTAAGAAATTCAGAAGTATTGAAGTACTGAAGAGAGTTTTTGTCTGAGACATTTTGTTTATTTTTATTTTTAGTCACACCTTCTGGTAGACTGAGCTCAGGCTACTGACGAAGGCGGTAGTTTTTTATGACGCGGGAATTACACTGATAAAGAGCCGCTTTGGGGTACAGATAAGATAACGCTTGTTATTGTTTTTTTTTTTAATTCTCAGTGTCGATCGTTAAATTTATTGTTTTTTTGTAAAAATGTTATTTTTGGAGGTGATATATTTTATGATATGACTACTCATGAAGGTTTTTTTTATAAAATTTTATTTTTTTAACCTTTTAATTTTTTAACATTGTTGGGAGTTATTTTTATACATTATCGGCATAAATAAATTTAATTAGAAATTCATATTAGATTTTATTGTCAAGGCTCTGTGGACATATAATATATACTAAAAAAAAGGCAAAATTAAATATAAGAGTTAGAAATGTAAAACTAGTAATTTTGTGTAATATAAAAATTATTATTTGTTATAAAAGCTGTAAGAAAAAAAATGTTCTTGAATCAAGTATATAATTTTGAAGAACTTCATTTTCTTTATTTAAAAGTAAAAAACCCGTGTCTGTTGGAAATTCCTTAGGACAGTATCTCCATGATGATATTGACATAATTTTATTATGAAATCATAATGATATTAAAATGAATTAATAATTAAATGATGGTCATATCTTTATAAAATCATAATGATATCATAATGATATTGTTAGTCTTTTTAAATCGTGATATAAAATTATTGAGTCATAACTGTATACAGGAAATATTGCAAAATAATTAAATTAAAGAAATTTTTAGGAGGATTTGAATTGTTTTCAAAATAAGAAAATAATTATCTTGAGACAAAAGAATCTTTTCAGTCAAAAATTTTTTTTAATCCAAGATAGTGTTTTTCTAAATATTCTTCTAAGTTAAGAAAGACAAAATTTTAAGTAGTTCAACAATATAGTTCATGATAAAAATACTGTTTTTCTCAATTATTATACATTTCCTCTGATTAACAGAAAAAATGAAATTTTTACTGATCTACTGAAAAAAAATTCGTTCCCACAGGTATTTTACTTATTACGGGTTTCTAAAGTATTGATATGGCTCTTATATGAATCTCATATTAGTGCCAAAATATGAGATTCATTATGATATTCATTATGAGCCTCATAATGATATCATATCATTTTTACACGGGAAATTCTTTAAGAAATTTTTACTTGGTTTAAACTTTAAATAAATTTTACTTGATTTAAGAATTTTTCGTCTTGATTCTAGTGAATTACCCTCTTCAAAATTATTTTCTTGGTTCAAGAATTTTCCCCTTGAATCAAGTTAATTTTCTTTTCAGTGTGTGATATTTTAGATTAAGTTAAAGATAACTAAATTAAAAAGATGCAATAAAATAAAGTGTATTATAGAGGTGTGTACTTATAAGAAAGTAAGAGTGTATCAAAGGAGGTTAAAAAATGATTATTATAAATGTAAAATGGTTACAGTTTTGTAAAACACTAAATATGGTGATACAAATAAAATTAAATTCTATTCTATTAGACCATTTTATAATAAAAAAAATTTTTTTTTAATATTTCATCTTTAGACTAAGATTTGGAATTTATAATAATGATTAAGGTGACCGTCTCTTTTTTCTTGGAAAAATTTGTCGCGTCAAAAATTATCAGTAATAATTCCCTGTACAATATTTTTTTACACAAAAACCATGATAAAAGGGCCATGTTAATATTTTTTTTTTAGAAATAATTGTACTTAATTGTGAATAATTGTGAGAAATTTTGGCGGGATTAATTTATTTAAAATAAAGATAGAGTTAAAATTTCTTTTAGTTTTAATTGTAATGGACGATTAAATTTTTTTATTTAGAGTACATCTAATGACTGAAAAATAAATTTTTTTTGTACACTGATAGAATGATTTTTTAGTATTTAAGAAGATTTCTTTGTATTTAAGAAATCATTTCTTGAACATGATTTCTTAGTATTAAAAAAAAAATTTCTTAATATTTATAAATACTAAGTGTAATAAAATCAATGTAATAAAAAATTTCATTGTCCTAATTCTAATTTTTAAAGCAATATAAAAAAATTTATTTTAATTAAAAAAAACACTATTAGAATTTAATAGTTTATTTTTTAAAAAATTAAAAATTTTACTGAAGAAATGTTCAGTTTTACAAAAATTTTTATTTTATTAAAAAAAATTTCTCTTTTTTACAATAACATTACTAATTTTTCTCTTAATCATTACTAATGCACAGTAAAAAATTTTTGCGTCAATTTTTACACAAATTGTGTATAAAAAAATAACTAATATAAATTTTTACCTAATTTTTAATTAAACGCTCAATATAACTCAAAAATTTTAAAATAATTTTTTACCATCTAAAAAACAGCTTAAAAATAATAATTCATTGTATCCTATAAATTTCATTAATAAAA